CAGCTCTGCAGGCAGCAGCATAGAAGTAAGGGTGGCAATACCATACCCTGCCACCCTTACTTCTATGCTGCTGCCTGCAGAGCTGGTCCCTTGGTTAGCAGCTGCCACTCTCTGGCCGCCCAGCTCTGCAGGCAGCAGCATAGAAGTAAGGGTGGCAGGGTATGGTATTGCCACCCTTACTCCTGCACTGCTGCTGGCGAGGCGCTGCCTTCAGAGCTGGGCACCCAGCCAGCAGCCACCTCCCTCGAGCCGCCCAGCTCTGAAGACAGCGCAGAAGTAATGGTGACAATACCACAACTCCCCTAAAATAACCTTGCACACCCCCTGCAACTCCCTTTTGGGTCAGCACCCCCAATTTGAGAAACAAGGGTCTCCCCCATTAAATCTGTATAAGATAGGGTAAAAGCACACAAAAGACCAGATTTCACTGGGGGGGGGGGGAGAAAGAGACCAGATTTCATGGTCCATGAGGCATTTTTCATGGCCCTGAATTTGGTAGGGCCTTAACTATATACTAAAGAAATAAAAACAAATAAGAGAAAAAAGAACAGCAAGATAGGTAGCTAGCACGCAGACACAACACTCCATCTCAAGCACCTGTGGCTGAGAAGGAACTGGAGTGGCAGCAGGACCACCCCTTCCTACATATTCATGTGCCAGACCAGGAGGGTGCGTAGGATGCAGGCACAGACCCATGGACACTGCTGACAAAATCTCTGACAAAGAGTGCATGGGTGCACACGTGGAGTACACATAGGGACAATAACTGGAAGAAGCGGTAATATTCGCTCATACTGTCAACCTGTATGAGATTTTCAAAATCACTTATAATTTTGTTATTTCTAAGCATTATTTCATCAAAGCACATTGAAGTCACTCTCAGTTAAGTACTAGGGTCTGCTAAAATGCTCACTGAAATAAATGGGAAATTTTCCAAGGACTTCAATGAATCTTCAATCAGGCCAGAAGTTTGAAATTTTACAGTTAAGCCATTTTTAATTACCTAAGCACAGTGAAGCATATTAATTTTCTCAAAACATGGACAAGGTTTGTTTTTCAAACTTTAGACAACTTTAACTGAATATTTCTCCTTCAAACACATCCACTTTGGGCTGACAAATGTCAGAACAAAAGACAATTTTATTATTATAGCTATAAGCACCTGAAAACAGGATCCAACAACTAACGTGCCTTTAAAGCATATGTTTTAGAATTGTGTAACTAACACATGATGAATAATAATTTAATTTTGCCTCCATTTCAGTGGACCAAATTCTAAAATGTAATAATTAATTATAATTATTTATGAATTTCTATTCTATTGTGTGTTCTACATGAATAGCCTTTGAACCTTTTCTCTGCCCTCCCCATTTCCCTTCCCCAGAACATCCCACACCCAGAACAGCCCCGCATCCAGGGGCTTCTCTGATCAGCCCTTCCTCTTCTGTTTCCTCAGGCTCCCCTTGGTCCTTCTAGGCCAGAGCCCCCCTTCACTCCACTGGCAGGAGATAGACCACAGCCCCTGAAGCTGGGAAGGCTGGGACAAAAGCCCTTTGCAGGGGTGAGGGGTCTCCCTCCTACCCACTCTGAGTGAAAGTGACATTTGAATCCATCCAGGGCCCTATGGAAGTTATGCAATTTGGCTCATTCCCTCTGCCCTCTACCCCCAAATGGCAGCTCAGTGAGTGGGGCTGGGCTTAGGGAACCCCCTGCCTTTCCCAAGGAGAGATCCCCTATAGCCAACAAACAGACCTCACCTACCCTTTCTGTCACCCTACCATAGCCCCACTCCAATTCTCTGACCCCCAAATTACTCCCATTCTCATTCATTGCTCCCCAGAATAACCTGTTATAATATATATGGAGACATACCTACCTCATAGAGCTGGAAGGGACCCTGAAAGGTCATCGAGTCTGGGACCCTGCCTTCAATAGCAGGACCAAGTACTGATTTTGCCCCAGATCCCTAAGTGGCCCCCCTCAAGGATTGAACTCACAACCCTGGGTTTAGCAGGCCAATGCTCAAACCACCTCTTCCTGCCACAACAAATAAACCACTCACCTTCCCAAAAATATGGAACCGTTCCCCCCCCCCATCCATATTATAAGATCCATTGAAAAGAGCCTGTGATTGATTATTTTATTTTTTTATTTTTTTAAGGATTTGACAAGTAGTTTAAAAGATTTACTGAATTCTACAAATATTTGCTTTGGTTTGTGTGGATTATGTGGACATATATTTAAAAAAATGCAAAACAGAAATGCCTTTAATTTAAAAAGATGATATTCCACATTTAAATCACTGTCCTTTTTTAGTTGGTGGAAATTCTTGAGATGCAGCATCTCGATTTTTTTAACTTTCTCTTGAATATAGATTATAATGAAACAGTCTCTGCAACCCAAAATTTCTGAATCATTTAAATGTCAGAGCCAAACCACTCTCCCCACCCTGCAGCCCCAGCAAACCTACCCTTTTTCTTCCCCAAATGAGCTGTAGAGTTCCCTGCAGGCCCCTGCACAATGCTCCCAGTGAACCTCTTCTACCCTCTTCTTCCAAACAGACTACAGATTCCCAGGGATTCCTCCTCCAAAGTCTCCCTTCACTTATTAATAAAATAGATATACTCAACAGATATTACAGCCTCTCTATCATGCTCTAGTATATCTGAATTAAAATACTGCATAAACTGGAACTGTTTCTTTCCATGACGCTACAAGTGCTAAAGATTTCTAGTTAGAAAAATTCATGCACCAGCAAGTAGATTGCCTCAACTCTTGGGCCCCACAAAAGTGTCAATAAGGAGACGATGTCCTTCAATTATCTAAACAGATATTAACTTTTAAAAAATATGTCCATTCCCAATGTACATTCTGCGTGATGGACATGTAAAAATCCCATTTTAGCAAAGAGTTATGCACATCTAAATCACAACACACCACAATCCCTGTATTTGTGTCTGCTGCATTTGACACTATTTGCCGGTAAATACCATAAACGTTCTAGAAGATAGCGTAACTTTTTAATTACAAGATAAGGAAAAAACCCATAATAAAGTAGAATATTATAACCATCCACTTACATGCTTTGATAGGTTGGGACTCTTTGAATCAACATCATACCTAAAAAATTTAAGAAAAACAATTACTCCCGGGTGGCAGAGTTAAGGAAATGTAAAAACAGACATTCCAGTGTATTCATATACACAAAACAAATATGCAGAATTGATATAAAGACTTTTGAATAGAAACTTCAGTAGTAAATGAGATTCCCTCACACCAGAAAAAAAATGGTTACTAACCTGTTCCATAAAAAAAAACAGTTCTCTACCTTTAGTAACTGTTGTTCTTCTAGATGTGTTGCTCATGTCCATTCCATGCCAGGTGTGCGTGCGCCCACGTGCGCAGTCGGAGATTTTTGCCTTTAAAATAAACAGTGGAGGGTCAACAGTGGTGCCCCCTTGAGTGCTCCGCTCATGTGCCGGTATATCTGGAGCCACTGACCCTACTCCCTCTCAGTTCCTTTTTGCTAGCAACTTCGACAGAGGGGCAGGAAGATGGGTAACAGAATGTACATGAGCAACACATCTTGAAGAACAGTTACAAAAGGTAGATAACCGTTTTTCTTAAAGTGATTTCTCATGTCGATTCCATTCTAGGTGACTCACAAGCAGTGCCAATGGAGATGGGCTCGGAGTTCACAGTCTTGCAGCTTGCAGCATTGCCCTGCCGAAATCAGCATTGTCCTGGGCCTGCTGTGTCAGCACATAATGGGACGTAAATGTAGACAGATGTCCAAGTAGCAGCTCTACAGATCTCCTGGATTGGCACCAGGGCTAAGGCCACAGATGACACTTGTTCTCTAGTCAAGTGCGCTTTGACTATTGCCGGTGGAGGCACACTTGCCAGCTCGTAGCAGTACTGGATGCAGGCTGTGATCCAGGACGAAATCCTTTGAGCAGACAGAGAGCAACCTTTAATCATATCTGCCACGAACAACTACGCTGACTTACAGAACGGCAGCGTCCTATCAATGTGGAAAGCCAGAGCCCTCTGGACATCCAGGGCGTGTAACCTGCCCTCCGCTTCAGATTTATGGGGTTGCGGAAAGACGACCAGTAAGAAAATGCCCTGTCCAGTATGAAATTGGGAAAGTACCTTGGGCAGGAATGCCAGGTGCAGCCACAGCTGGACCTTAACTTTGTAGAACACTGGTACAGGGTGGTTCTGACATAAGAGCTCTGAGCTCAGGCACACTGCGGACAGACAGAACTGACACCAGGAACACCACTTTCCAGGAGAGAAGGAGAAAAGAGCAGGAAGCCAGAGGTTCGAATGGAGGCCCTATGAGCCTTGACAGCACTAGATTCAAATCCCCAGGAGGAACAGAATCCCAGATATTAGGGTAAAGATCCTCCAGACCTTTCAGGAACTGGGCCATCATGTCATGAGTGAAGACCGACCTGCCTTGGAATGGAGGGTGGAAAGCTGAAATAGCAGCCAGATGGATCATGACTGACAACAGGGACAAGCCCTGAAGTTTAAGGTGCAAAAGATAGACCAGGATCAACTGCAGCGAGGCCTGCTCAGCCCGCACCCGCCGAACCGAGCATGTGAATCTTTTCCACTTTGCCCGATAGGTCGCTCTGGCGGAGTACTTTCTGCTTCCCAGCAAGCTCTGTTGCACCCGGGTCGAGCATTCCCGCTCGTCCGCATTCGGCCATGCGGCAGCCACGCCGTCAAGTGAAGCGCCTCCAAGTTTGGGTGCAGGAGACTGCTGTGGTTCTGGAACAGCATGTCCAGCCAGAGAGGGAGTAGCAGCGGCTCGGCTACCAAAAGGTCCATCAGCATGCCAAACCAGTGCTGGCGAGGCCACTTGGGGGCTATCAGGATAACCCTCGACCTATCCTGCTTGATCTTTTATGAGGACTCTGACTCAATGGCACTGGTGGGAAGGCGTACATCTGGGCTCCCACCCACGGAAGCAGGAAAGCATCTGATGGGAACCCCTGTCCATCCCCTGGATGGAACAGAATACATGGCATTTCCTGTTCTGGCGGGATGTGAACAAGTCCACCTGGGGAGTTCCCCACTTTCAGAAGGTCATATTGGCTGACTCCGGATGGAGCGACCACTTGTGCTGAGATGAAAAGGTCCTGCTGAGGCGATCTGCTAGCACATTCTTGGTGCCGGGCAGGTGCGCAGCTACCAGATTAATGGCATGCCGTACGCAGAAGGGCCAAAGGCTGAGAGCTTCTTGGCAGAGGGTTGACGACCTGGCTCCACCTGTTTGTTCATGTAGTACATTGCGGTGGTATTGTCCATGGGAACCTGCACCACCTTGCCCCTCAGGTGGGGTAAGAAAGCCCGGCAGGCCAGGCAAACCACTCTGAGCTGCCTGATGTTGACGTGGAGGGCTAGATTGTCCCGCAACCATCGGCCTTGGGTGCTCAGCTCGCCCAGGTGGGCTTCCCAGTCCAGACCCAAAGCAACATAGAGCAGGGTCAGCAATGGGAATAGGGTCAAAAAAGGGACTTCCTCCAATACCGACCCAGTATTCCACCACCAATCCAGGGATGAGAGGATGTGATCCGGCACCCTGAATATCCAGTCTAAATCATGTCTGTTGGGGATGTAAACGGACGCCAGCCATGCTTGCAGACGCTGGAGGTGGAGCCGGGCATGACTGACCACATATGTACAGTCTGTCATGTGGCCCAGCAACCACAGGCAAGTGAGAGATGTAGTGAGCGGCAGGTTCTTCACCTGGGATATGAGGTCCAACATGGCCTGAAAACGCACCTCCGGGAGGAAGGCTCTGGCTCAGGTGGAATAGAGAACCACTTCTATTAACTCTGTGTGTTGGACCGGCTTTAAGTTGGATTTTTTCTCGTTTATCGACAGGCCCAGGTTGTGGCAGATGGAACGAACCAGATAGAGACTTCTCTGCACTTGATCCGCCAGTTGTCAAGATACGGGAAGACCTGGACTCCTTGACACACGAGGTAAGCGACCACTGGCGCCATACATTTTGTAATGACCTTTGGAGTCGATGAAAGGCCAAAAGGGAGCGCCATAAATTGGAAATGGTGTTCGCCCACCATAAAACAGAGGAAACATCTGTGACCTTGAAATATGGAGATGTGGAAATAGGCACCTTCAAAGTAGAGGGCGGCGTACCTGTCTCCCGGATCCAGGGAGGGGATGGAGGCCAAGGAGACCATTGAAAACCTCAACTTTTTGAGAGACTTGTTGAAACGTTGCAGGTCCCCTTTTACTTTCGGAATTAGAAAGTAGTGGGAGAACCCCTTTCATGTTCCCAGGGACCTCCTCCATTGCCCCTCTTGAATGAGAAGTTGCTTGTGAGAAGGGTCCCTGATGAGGGAAGGACAGCCGAAAACTGCGGGGTGCAACCATGAGACACTATGTCTGAGGTGACTTGGGACCAGGCCGAACCGAAGGGACAAAGACGGTTGAGGAAAGAGCAGGGTGGATCCTGAAAAGGTGACTGGAGCGCCACTCTCGACCACACCCACAAAACGAGCATTTCTGACCCCCGGGGTATTTTGCCAAGTCAGGTTGCACGGGTGAGCAGAAGGAGGAAGGGCAACAGCAGCTGTCCCTTCTTCTTGCAGATCCCTCACGGGACTGCCAAGACCTAGGCGGCAGGGGCGACCGGAACTAAGCTGTGGGGTATGCATGCCCAGCAAGCGAAGAGTGCAGTCTAGACAAGGGGCTGAACTGGGCTTCCGTGCCGGAGAAATCCCCTTCCAGTGACTACGGTTGGGCCGTCGATGCCTGGGTCTGTTTATCAGGCATCACCATCACCATCAAAGACCGGTGCCCCGAGCGAAGTGATCAGTGCCGGTAAAAAGGGGACCAGGCTGCTGCCGGGGGGGGGGAACAGAGACAAGACGGGGATCGCTCCCACAAGGCAGGCGACAGGGAACTGCACCTAAAGGACAATCAGTGGGAGGGCAAGCAGCGTCGGTAGTACAGAGACCAGCGCGTTGCTCTAGGCGATCTGTATCGAGATGGTGGCAACCGCAAACATGGTGAACGAGGATGAGCCCCAGGGGACCTGATCTGCGACTTTGGCACGGAGGTGGAAAGCGGTACTTTGTCGGAAGATCGGTGACGCTCCCATGCCACCTGAGGAGTCTTAGCTGCTGACTTGCCCTCGTGGGGAGCCTTTACCAGTTCCTCGGGCACATACTGCATCGGCAGCACAGGCGAGACCTGTGCTCTCTCAGCACCAGGGGAGTCTGTGAAGGCGTTGGTGCTGCCAGGGTTTTTAGTTCCATACCGCTCCCAGGAGTCAGTGGTGGACCTTTCACAGGGCTAAGGGCCCCGACTGGGGAGGTACAAGCACACGGCTGCAGAGTGGCCAGGTAGCCTGAAGCAGGTGCCTTGCCCGGTGCCGGGGAGCCATGTTTTTTGGTCTTCTTTTTGGGCACCGGCGATGGGGGCACACTGCACATCAAGGCCGAGGTACTTGGCGAGTCCTTGCGGGGCTGCACGGAGGCCGGACACAGGGCGGACTCCATGAGGCGAGCCCATAGCTGAATGTACACTTCAATGTTTTGTCTAGTTTTTAAATTACAGTATTAAGATTTCATACATTTAAAAAAATTAAAAGCCATTATAAGGTGTTGGGGATCACTATGCAGGTTTGCCTTCCTAAGTGATAGTACTCCACATGGGTTTCCACCTGCCACCCAACTTGTCCAAGACAACAGATTCTAGAGTCTTGGTAAGTAACAAACAGCTCTTTATTGAGGAAACAAAGTTACAAAACACTGAAGCTCTGCTGATCAGACAGAGTCACGGTGGGGTAACCTCTCCAGCAGATAACTCCAACAAACTACTAAAACCACACAGCTTATATTTACTAAAGGCCATGTCTACACTACAAAATTATGTTGACCTAGGTAATGTCAGCATACAGCTGTCAGAGTTATTACATTGCTTGTGAGTGTGCATACTACGCTCCTTTTTGTTAGCGATGCACATCCTCACCAGAAGTGCTTGTATCAATGCAGAAGGCAGTGCACCATGGGTAGCTATCTCACCGTGCAACTTGCCACCATCCAGTGCAGGGTGTTTTAGGACGTTTTTGCAAT